TGTGAGTGTGTGTGTGTGTGTGTGTGTGTGATGTGTGTGTGTGTGTGTATGTGTGTGTGTGTGTGTCATTTTTTGTCAGTGTAATCATTTAAGAATAGTCATTTTAAAATTTGAATTCTCATTTATTAAAAAACTAGTCACAGTTTCAATTTGATTTTGTTCACACAAGTAGGGTTACTGATCAGGCTTTCGATTTAGCAAATAAAAAATGTTGACACCAAAATGAAAAGAGGCATTTTGTCAGCTTACGGCAGTATTTGTGTTTGCAAGTGTCATAAACTGTTACTAAAACAAAAAATTTTCTGTCCTCAGAAGGCAAGGGCTCTGATTCTCTGGACCTGGATGTGAATATTGAGGGCGGAGAGAGTGAGGAAGATCTGGAGGAGGAGGAGGAGTTGCCGATGGAGGAGACGAACGAGACTGGCACAGGTTCGGACGCCGAGGTGGCTAAGAAGAAACACAACAAGGTGGAGGAGGCCAGTGAGATTATGACACAGCCCGGCATTCTGGCTGGTGAGTTGTGGCAGCTGTGGTTGTTGTTGTGGTTGTTGTGGTTGGTGGTTGGGGGTGTTGTGTGGTGTGGTTGTTATGGGTGGTGGTTGGGGGTGTTATGAGTTGTGGCTGCTGTTGTGGTTGTTGTGGGTGGTAGTTGGTGGTGTTGTTGTTGTTGTTGGGGTGGTGGTTGGTATTGTTGTGTGATAGCTGGTGAGTTGTGCCATTGTGGTTGTTGTTGAGGTGGTGGTTTTGTGTTGTTGTTGATGTGTGATTGGTATGGTTGGTGTTCTTGTTGGTGTTCTTGTTGGAGTTCTTGGTGTGGTGGTTGTTGTGTGATGTAGTGTGGTGTGGTGGTTGGTGAGTTGTGCCATTGTGGTTGTCATTGGGGTGGTGGGTGGTGGTGTTATGTGGTGTGGGTGGTGTGGTTGGTGGTGTTATGTGGTGTGGGTGGTGTGGTTGGTGGTGTTATGTGGTGTTGTTGGTGTTGTTTCTGTGTGGTGGTTGGTGTTGTTTTTGTGTGATGATTTGAAAGAAGCGCATCTGGGTGTGGGATTGATAGTCTATGTATAAAATCACCCTGTATAGGCTTTACAGTAGACCTTGTTATTGTGGTAGACATTCAAGTTGGTAGCTCCTACCTCTTTTGTTTCCCTCTGCTGTTTCTGTCCGTCTGTCTTGCTTTATCCATTCATTAAATGACCTTTTATTTTCATCAATATGCTTCTCTTTATTCACACCACC